TAAAATGAAGGTACATTACTACATTAGATTAAGAAAAAACTAAAGCAAAAATAGTGTTAGGATTTTCATATTTTTTTATAATAATAACTAATTAAAAAATATCGTGGTAATCAGAACACAAATCGCTTTGCTTAGCAGCCAATTTATCGATATTCAATTTGCTGTCTATTTTCGACCGTTTACTTTTACCTATTAAAATCGCAACGAGTGCCCATGTTGGTATCCCCATTTCCTCAGCGAGTTCCTTGCCGAGGTCTTCTACTTTCGTCTCCAAAGACTTTCCCGCATTTTCGGTCACCACTTCCGCCGTTTCTGTGCCTGAGGTAAACGCGCGACCACGTTAGTTTTACACGATGAGCTCTTCAAAGAAAAAACAGGGCTCGCGGCAACATTACCTTCTTTTTCTTCCACATCTGTGGTCAACCAGGTTTTCAACGTCGATCCAGGCTCCTCCACCGCTTGCGGTTCCACCACCGGTTCCGGCAGATTCTCTGCCTCTCTTTTACGCATAGCAGGCATTTTCTGGAATGGAAAGTTCATGTCTCAATTCCGTAGTTATAATTGAATTAGATTATGAAAATGATAATAAATAAACACTGTTCTAATTGGCATAGTTGAAAGCGTAAGTAGTAATAATGTTGAATTAAGTGTACTGTTACCTGTGTCTGTGAACTGTATCAAACAGTGGGTGGAACTGAATGGACGGAATAAGAACAATTTTTGTGATTCGTACCTGTATTTGCTCGAAGGGTACCTCAAACGTGAATGATTCGTTGTAATACGGATTGAGAGTGCATTTTTTGATGGACGTTTTCTTCTTCTTCAGCCTTTTGCCGTTCTGCATCAATGCGATCTTTACGTAAGGATCTGAGAGACCGCCGACATCCATCTTTTTCAGGTTCTTGGCTTCCAGAATGACAACCGTTAATTTACCGGCCGTGGGCACGTATCGAAGCGAAAAGCAAATGTCTCCCAGTTTGTTATCCTATAATATTAATAAATATCGAAACATGACGAATGAATAGTCAAGCCAGTAGTACACTCTCGTCGAGACTCTTACCGAGACGAGTGCTACCAGCTTACGTCGTCTCGGATTTAGTCGCGAGTCGCGGAGTCGCGAAATTAATACACTATTGTAACTAGAGACGGTTCTCGAATTTGCGGTAGGTCCTCGCAATAAAAGAATCAATTCGAAATCGAGCGCTGACGATGTGAGATAAGGCGAGACGAGCAATGCAAGTACGTGTATTCTCTCGCCTTACCTCGACGAGACCGCACTACTAGCATCATTATCGTTTGGTAAGCAAATGTTGAAAAAATAGTTTACCTGACCACCTTCGCCTTCTACGCTCTGCAGTTCTCTCCATTCTTCAATCGTCTGAGCCAGATCGATTTGGCACAGAGGAACTTTCACCTCGCCGATCTGGTCGTGTTTTGAAAACCTGTCAAAATCAAAGATTGCAAAGACAAGTGTTTTGTTCATCGCATCTGCGTACGGCACGCTCTGAAAAGTAAACGCTTCAGTTAGTTGGTTGTAAAACAGAGGAAAGTTGGAACGAATTTGGTCATTTCTTTAAGTATACAAAAACGTCGACCGACCTTGAACGTGAAAGTTTCATTGAACTGAGGACTGAGCGTCTTCCTGTGTACTTTCGTCTCGAACTTTTTCTTCTTATCCGGTAGCAAGTAAACCTTCACGTACGGATCAGAGGTACCACCCATGTCTAAGGCTGGCAGTTCTTCGGCTTGAATTACTGTCACTGCCAAGCTGTTCGTATTGAAGTCGTACTCGAGCTGCAGATATTTATATTTGTTTATGTTTATTACTATTTTTATTTTATACAATAAATAAGTTATATTCGTTTTATTTCATTTTGACTTAAGCACGTGTATAAATCGAGTACTAATAGCTTAATTTCTACTATTATAGGAAAATTATTTTTTACAAACACATATGTTCCCCAATTAATTCATACATACACATAATAAAGGTTCTACTGGATATTAATTAATTGTCCAATTATAAATTACAAGGATTTCGATTCTTCTTTCGATTTCGATAAAAGAAATAA